AGCAAAGCACTGATGGGTGAACCTTGGATAGGCAAGGCCCTGAGGGCTTCGGCTCCAGAACGTCTCTTGCTACTGCTGTGCCTTTACATGTTTGCCACTGCCGTTTTTCTCTGGTACCCAGCATGGCGTGAATGGGTGTAGGGGATCCCCACTGCCTTTAATGTAGTGTGATTGTCTCATGGAAACATCCCATTCTAGTGGGCATTTTTACCTGTGGATTATTATAAGGTGATTTCCTCTTAAGCTGTGCTGTTTAATTGAAGTAATGATTTGATAAATAATAGTGTTAGTCTAAATAGAATTTTGACGATTAAGGCTTTTTAACAACTCTGGTGAGGGATTATGATAGAGCTTAGTTGAGTGGGAAAATTAATATAGGTAAAGGCAGGTATGGTGTTGCCCCTGATAAAGTAGGGGCTGCAGAGGGTAGAAAATAGGACTAAGGAAGTGTTATACAGCTAGGACTTACGTGAGTTTCTCTTGAGGAGCCGTTATAGACTGTGGCTTAGGTTAATGATTAAGGAAAACAAGTATGTCCCAGAAGCTAGGCTAGCTCAAGTTCTTTTACTGTTGGGAGATGTGTTCAAGGTGTTTGGTGTGCATCATAGCTAAAACAAAGCTTAAAATAATGACTTACGGTTAGGTTAAGATGTTTTTGTTAATAGCTTTGAGGTAGAAAAATCTTGGGGAACAATTTATAGTTTAGAAAAGCAGTTGAGTGAAGGACTTGTTGAGGTCAAGAAACAAGAATAAAGTTATCAGCTGACATGCCTTTCTTGTTACAATGGATTGGAATCAAGGATGATGATTAATTCTTCGAAATCATTTCTGCCCTCAGGATTTCCTGATATAAAAGAATTGTTCATGAATGGGTATGCACCCTGAGGATTTAAAGTAGAGATGACTGATAGTTTTTCATATATAAAAGTTTAGATTTGTGTTTCTTTTAGAATTTTTATAAGACTACTTTTTGAGATAAATAGTAAAGCAATTGATTCTTTCTTTGAACCACAAAATGCAGCCTGCCAGTAAAAGAACTGGCTGAGAAAAATACCTTGCTTACTTACACTCTGATAATCTATAACAAGTTGCTTGGACATGAATGTATGTGGGTTCTTGGGGATAATTTGTTTTTCACCTATAATATGTGAAATATTTAATCACGTAAGGAATATGGAAAATGCTTGTTACTTGTATTCATTGTGCTCATTAACTTAAAAACTAGAATGTAACTCCATTGTAATTTTTATACTGCTTGAAAGATTTGGCTGGGGTATTAAGCTGTAAGGGAAAAAATAAAGTTAGGAGGAAGATATCTAGAGAGACAGAAGGGACACATCTAGATAGAGGTAAGAAAAGAAATAAAGAAGAGAGAAGATGATAGAGAGACCCGAGGCTGTGTGTGTGTTTTCTCTTTTCTGCTGGACCCAGAGAGTTAAGTTTTGCCCCCTGAGATAGAAAAGTCAAGTTGAATGATTAGTTTGACGACTCTGTGGATCCCCCTCAATCCCTGAGCTGCTGAAGACTGGTCCTCACGGCAGCAATATCTCAGGATTTGTTTGTTTGTTTGGTATGGTGTGGTGTGTGTGTGTGTGTGTGTGTGTGTGTGTGTGTGTGTGTGTGTCTGTATGTGTGTATGTCTGTCTGTCTGTCTGCCTGCCTGCGTGCGTGTGTGTGTGTGTGTGTGTGTGTGTGTGTGTGTGTGTTGTTTTCATGTTCACTTAATTTTGTACCTTTCTATTGATTTCCGGCCTACACAATACACATCTGTCACCTGTGATGTTAACACCTCTGGATTAAGGTTATTCTGCAATGAAGTTATGCTCCAATCTGCAGATATTTGAGATCTGTTTCTCAATTCTTTTTTCCTCCATACAGCAGGGATTGTGCATGTGAGGGCTTGTGCCAGCCTCGGGGAGATCCCCAGCTCCATGGCCTCCACTCACACTAACACAAACACGTGTTAGCAACTTCCAATCTCCTGCGGGGCTTTAGAACTGGTGGACCATTTGGATCTTACTTGCATCTGTTTTGGAAGTGGCTCCTCTGTTAGTTTTCTATGAGGGACTTTAGAAACATAATTTGATTTTGAAGTTTAAACCAGCCAAAAAGTTTCTGTCTCTTGAGAAGGAAAACAAGATGGTTTGTGTACTTGTTTTTGGCTTTTTGTTTGTTTGGTTTTGGTTTTGGTTTTTCGAGACAGGGTTTCTCTGTGTAGTTTTAGTGCCTGTCCTGGATCTCTCTCTGTAGCCCAGGCTGGCCTTGAACTCATAGAGATCTGCCTGCTTTTGCCTCCCAAGTGCTGGGATTAAAGGCGTGTGCCACCACCGCCTGCCTGGTTTATGTATTTGACCCCATACCTTAAATTACATTTATACTTACTGTTAATTTTGCAGTAGTTTTGATCTTTCCTCTTTGTCCAGTTTCCTGTTTTTCTAATTTGGCTCTTTAGGTAGGACCAGATGGTTCTGGTTGTACTCGTCTCTTATTTCCCATCAGACACCCTCAACCTCCGTGTACTGGAAGTAACTTTTTCGGTTTGTTTATGAGTTCTCCCCATCTTTCTGACTACAGTGGTTCAAGTCATTTCCTCTAGGGACAGAGAGCATAGTTTATCATAGAGCACATGTCAGGATGAATGAGGCTCTGGGTTCAGCGTGCAGCCCCTTGCTGATGGACATTCCCTATGATATACTCAAGTCTGAACTAGGAGAGGATGGAAAACTAAATGCTGGGTTGTTTTCTGTTTTGTTTCTCTTCCTGCTAAAGTGAGGATCATTTTTTATGAGGTTGAAATCTTTATAACATGGAAGATGTCATCTGAAATGTGCTGTTCCGTGTCGTCACATGCTTTCACAGTGTTGTACAGCCACCACCATCCACTTCGAGAACCTTCTACAAAAACTCCACATTAGCCCCCCTCCCATTCTAGCATGGCACCTTTCTAAGAATTTATTCATTCCAGGAACCTTGCATATCTGTAATCATAACTATTGCACTATCTTTTTTTTTTTTTTTTTTTTTCGGTTTTTGGAGACAGGGTTTCTCTGTGTAGCTTTGCGCCTTTCCTGGGACTTACTTGGTAACCCAGGCTGGCCTCGAACTCACAGAGATCCACCTGGCTCTGCCTCCCGAGTGCTGGGATTAGAGGCGTGCGCCACCACCGCCCGGCCTTATAGTACTATCTTTAAGGCCCATCCATGTTGAAGCATGTATCAGCATTTAATTCCCTTTCAAGACTAAATAATGCTGTTATCTGTGGGCAGCACCTTGCACTTCTCCACTGATCTGTTAGATTTCTCCCCTGTGGACTATGATTAGAATGTAGCTGTGCACACCTGAACATCTGAATGAGCACCTCATTTCAGTTCCTTGATGTGTATACTTACAATTTCTGGATCCTATATATCCTATAGAAACATCGCTACAGTTTCTCACAACAATGTCTGCATCAGTCTAGTCTGGAGCAGGAATGTCCTAGGTTCTAATGTTTTCACCAACATGGATCCAGTCTCTGGTATAATATTAGTGGGTCCAGCCTCAATATTATACATCCCAGGGGCCCAGGAGAGAGAACTACTAACGGCGAGGACTATTTTCAGGAAATAGAATCTCAGCACACCGAGCTCTATAGTCCACTTGCTTTAATTCCTCTGGCATAACATCCTTTATACACAGCTTCAGTTCTGTTCTCGTGTCTAGCTCCTTTCTTGCCTGATTTCTCTCTATACTTACCTATCACTCCCTCTAAGTTCTATCTTAATTCTCTCATCTTAATTCTGCCTCATCTAGGTCCTTTTCATCTTGTTCTTACCCAGCTAGTACTTCCCCATCTGGCTCTTCCTCATTTTCCATCTCATTCCTCTAGTCCTCTCTTCTAGCCCTTCAATCTAGTTCTTCCCCATCTCAGTTTGTTCCTCTCAAGTTCTTAACAGGTCTAGTTCTTCCATTCTCGTTTCTCTTCTCCCTGCTGTTCTCTCCCTGTCTACAGAAAACACCTGCCTTTTCTTTCCCTGGGCACGTGGTTCCCAGTCTCCTCAGGAATGTTGTTTTATCTCTCACCTTGATGTTTAAAAACCTCTTTTGTTCTCAAAGTGCTCTGGAGAACCACAAGGCCTCCTCAAGGCCAGGGGATGGTCTGAGCTTCATTAGCACAGGAAACAAAGCTAGGCATCTCCCACCAGCTTGTCTCCTAAGCTCAGCAGGGCAGTTAGACAGCTGAAATATTAAAGGCTGGGTAACATCAAATATTCATAATAAATGGCTTTGCCTTTTGACAGACCCTTGGCCGGTCAAAGTTCAGCTTTAATACACAGCTGAATCTCTGTGATATATTCTTGCAGCCCACAAAACCAGTCCAGTGAGTATAAGGTCAACTCTTACGATTTCGATTTGTTTTCCTAACTACTAGTGATTTTAATCACCTTTCCTGATGCTTATTATCAACTTGTACCTCTTTGAATAAAGGTCCAGCCAAACAGTTTTCTTACCCTATTTATCTGTATGTTTGGGTGTGGATGTGCGTGCGTGTGTGCATGCGTGGGTGCGGTGATGTACATGTGCATGGCACCAACATGTGGAGGTCAGAGGACAGCCTGGAATGTTTGTCTGCAGGCACCTTCCACCTTTTTGTGTGAGACAGAGTCTTGTATTGGCCTGGAATCCTACCATGTAGGTCTGGCTAGTTAGCCTGCAAGTGTCCAGGGGTCTGTCTGTCTGTCTGTTTCTCCCTCCTGTATTACCACCACTGGGAGTACAGATGTGTTGCACCCATGGCCGGCTTCTTATGTGGGTTCTGGCGATTCACACTCAGGGCTTCACGCTTGCCAGGCAAAGGAGTGGATCACCGTCATTCCAGCCCTTTCCCACATCGCCAACCTTCTCACTTCTTCTTTCTCTTTCTGTTTCCTCCTTTCTGCTTGCTAAGTTTACATATTCTCATATTAAACATTAAAATATGTGATTTCAAAAATAAATCCCCCTCCCATTTCTTAATCTAGAGCAAGGAAGATCTTTTCTAGAAAGATATCTAATGATGATGAAGAATTCGTTAATTCAAATGTACCTCCTCCTCCTGTTCAAAATTCAGAACCCAAGCCAGACACTGATATTGATGTGGTAAGATGCACCTTAGAAACATTAAAACAAATTTTGATATAAGATAGATAGCAAATATCAGAATTAAAAATTCAATGATTGTTTCACACACACACACACACACACACGCACGCACGCACGCACGCACGCACGCACACACACATATATATATGCCTTTTCCTCTCATTGTAAAAAGCTGTAATAATGCCTGTCTCAAATTTTCCACTGAAATTAATTCATATTTTATTTATTTGCTTTTTAAGATGTAAATATAATTTATAACACTATTTAAGTTTTATTATCACAAATGTCCTACTTTATTTTGTTCTTGTCTTGTGGGCATATTTGCTAAATTAGATTTTAAATAGAGGGAAAGTGGAGATGGATTTCAGAAAAACATATGCACCAATATTTGAAGTAAACCTATATATGAAAACTCTCACTTCGGATGAGTCTGCAGAGGAGACTGAAGAGAAGGGACCGAAATCTAAACAGAGCCTTGACGAAACTCTGTCATGTGATGATGATGATCTGTCTGAAAGCAGAAGGTTTGTGAGAAACCCAAGTGAAGACCTGCTCACGAGGTACAATCAACCGAGCAAGTTTGGTACCCTCCTCAGACGCATCCTTTCAGGTAAAACAAAAAGAAGCATACTGGCAGCTGGAAAGAATAAGTGAAAAAAAAAATAATTTACACCTTATTAGTTTGTCTAGTGTGATGTTCATACTTGCAAAGGCAAGAAGGGATAGAACATGAATCATAACCTGTGGCACATGTGAGTGATAATATCATTTTTTACCTTGAATCATGAAGGATCTCTCACCCAGGGACTTCTGGACCCTCTTTGTCAGGATGAGCTCACCTGGACTGGCTGCTAAAAGTACAGATTCTTGAGCAGGGGTGCCACTCAGTGGTAGAGTGTTTGCCTAGCATGTGTGAGGCCCTGATTTATCTCCCAGATCTGCAGGGGGGAAAAAAAGATCTGCGGCTCTATCTGAGACTTCCTTTCTTGGTATCAGAGTTGGGGTCCACTGATGGTATACCCCTTTCAGCCAGTCTCTATAGTTGACTCTCAGGATATTTAGAAAATACTAATATATATTAAGTTGTTATCTAGCATTTTAAAATGTTAATCAATTTTTACTTTCTCTTTCTCTCAATGAATTCTAATAGACACAGGACTCCTGCTTGAGTCTGAGCAAGGGCACATCTATAATAAGTAAGTATGAGACTTTTTTGTAAGTAGCTATATTTTGTTGGGTACGGTATTCCCTTGAATATACTTTTTTTTTTTATTGTTTTCTCTCAGATTTTCTGAATTCCCAACAAACCTCTTTATACAACCCAACAGACTGGACTTTTCAACACAATTCCAAAATGTGTTAGCAACTATAGAAAAATATATAAGTAAGTATTTGAAAGGCTTAGTGGCTTCTTTGATAATCCTTTTTAAATGGATTGTTATCTGATGCTCTTAGTCAATGATAAATAAGAGACCATGAATTCCAGTGTTTAGGATCAAGCAATGTTAATTTGGAATTACTTCAAGGTGTGTGTGTGTGTGTGTGTGTGTGTGTGTGTGTGTGTGTGTGTGTATACATATGGTGTTACTCAGAGATTTCTAAAGGAACAGAACTGATAGAATGAGTTTGTGTATGTGTACATATATGTCTCCCAGTGGTAGTTGTTCAGTCCATGAGACTGGATGTCCCAGCAGCCCCAGTTGGTTGCTGGAGTCCCAGGGAAGTCCTAGAGAGCTGCTGGTCTTCAAAGAAGTAGGTTCTAATACCAGAGAAGGAATGCCTCAGGAACAGGATAGATGAACTTGCCAGCGACAGTGACAGCAAGCAGGCAAAAAACAAAAGCTTCCTTCTTTCATGTCCTTTTATGTGGGCCGCCACTAGGAGGGGTGACCCAGATTTAGGGTGGGTCTTCCCATCTCAAATAATCCAATCAAGGAAATCCCTCACAGATGTGTTTAGCTGTTCGGGTTTTAGTAGATTATCGATTATAGACATAGTCAAATTGACAACCAAGATTAGCCTGCATGCATATAAAGAATGCATAACAGACAAGAATTGGGCAAGCAATTTGAGGCTTGAGTTATTTGAATTTTATTTCATAGCATTACATAGATCTTGTTTTCACCTTGAATAACATTTAAATGATTATTTTCAGCTATATGTATATAATTTGAGATTACATGGCAGTGACTTCCTTGGCCAAAGAATTTGTTAATTTCTCACAATAAGTTTTAAGGAAAAAAGTTAAACTAATAGCGTATCAACTCATTTGTCATAGACATAGTTTGCTAAGTTCAGGCACCTATAGATCTGCCCACTGCCTTCTAGCTTTTAGCACTACACATTTATTTCACCCAGTAATTTATCACCTGGAATTCTCTATACTTCTCTATAGAAATTATAGACATGTATCATTCTGTACTAATGTTCCTTAAACTTAAGGTAGGGAGATTAATTATGAAGAAGTAGATCCTCTGTCAGTCTTTCTATATATAGATTCCTTTTGCCATTTAGATTTTCTTTCCTTCTTTTATTTTTAGGTCATTGTTTCTTGGGTTAAAACATCTGACCACTTCCATGTCTTTTTTCCTCAATATAAAATGTTTTTGTCATTTGATTCTTTTGAAATTTTCATTATAAAATAATTTGAGGCTTCTATGAAAGTCACAAGCATAGTAGAGCATTCTTGTATGCCTTTCATATGTAGGTCAGTAGCCCAAGAGGTTGAGCATCTTGTTACTAGTAAGCTAATCATGAGCACTTGGCTAAGATGGACCTGGGGAAAGTCGTAAGATAATACAAATATCATGTTTCTGCTAAATAAATAAATAAATAAATAAATAAATAAATAAATAAATAAATGCACCCATTAATTTTAGGATTTCTCAGTGAAAAGTCCTGCACTAGTCAACTGTGACTTCCTAAGAGGAGTTCCTGTTCCTCTAATTCCTCACACATTGGTCACTCAGGATTCTTCTATAAGGAATAGTTATCCCTCTCTTCTGTTTACACATCTGTGCTATATGTTTAATTGTATTTGAATTCTTAGATTATGTTTTCAGTTTAGCAGGATTACTTTATATTCCTATATGTAGTGCATGAAGCCAGCCTTGAAAAAGTTCCTTTATCAGGTCTTGCAGAGATTTGGGATACAAGGAACATACCTAAACATAATAAAGGTAATTTACAGCAAACTGACAGCCAACATCAAATTAAATGGAGAGAAACTCAAAGAGATTCCACTAAAATCAAGAACAAGACAAGGCTGTCCACTCTCTCCATACCTATTCAATATAGTACTCGAAGTTCTAGCTAGAGCAGTAAGACAGCAAAAGAAGATCAAGGGGATACAAATTGGAAAGGAAGAAGTCAAACTTTCAATATTTGCAGATGATATGATAGTATACTTAAGTAACCCCAAAAATTCTACCAGGAAACTCCTACAGCTGATAAACATCTTCAGTAATGTGGCAGGATACAAGATTAACTCAAAAAAAAAAAATCAGTAGCCCTCCTATATACAAATGATAAATGGGCCAAGAAAAAAAAATCAGAGAAACAGCACACTTTACAATAGCCATAAATAATAAAAAATATCTTGAGGTAACTCTAACCAAACAAGTGAAAGACCTGTATGACAAGAACTTTAAGTCTTTGAAGAAAGAAACTGAAGATAGAAGAAAATGGAAAACTCTCTTAATGCTCTTGGATAGGTAGGATAAACATAAATAAAAATGGCAATCTTACCAAAAGCAATTTATGGATTCAATGCAATCCCCATCAAAATCCCAAAACAGCTCTTCACAGACCTTGAAAGAACAATACTCAACTTCATATGAAAAAACAAAAAACCCAGGATAGCTGAAACAATCCTGTACAATAAAGTAACTTCCAGAGGTATCACAGTCCCTGACTTCAAGCTCTATTATAGAGCCATAGTCATAAAAACAACTTGGTAGTGGCATAAAAACAGACACATGGACCAATGGAATCAACTTGAAAACCCTGACATTAATCCACACATCTATGAAAATGTGATTTTTGACAAAGAAGCCAAGATTGTACAATGGAAAAAAGAAAGCATCTTCAACAAATGACCCTGGCATAAATTGGATGTCAACATGTAGAAGATTGCAAACAAATCCATCCCTATCGCCATGCACAAAATTCAAGTCTAGGTGGATCAAAGACCTCAACATAAATCCAGTTACACTGAACCTGATAGAAGAAAAAGTGTGAGGTAGCCTTGAACACATTGGTACAGGAGACCACTTCCCAAATATAACACCAGTAGCAGACACTGAGAACAACAATTAATAAATGGGACCTCCTGAAACTGAAAAGCTTCTGTAAGGCAAAGGACACCATAAATAAGACAAAACAATAGCCTACAGAATGGGAAAAGATCTTCACCAATCCCACATCTGACAGAGGACTGATCCTCCAAAATATATAAAGAACTCAAGAAACCAGACATCAAAATACCAAATAATCCAATTAAAAAATGGGGTACAGATCTAAACAGAGAATTCTCAACAGAAGAATCTCAAATGACCGAAAGACATTTAAGGAATTGCTCAATATCCTTAGTCATCAGGGAAATGCAAATCAAAATGACTCCGAGATACCATCTTATACCTGTCAGAATGGCCAAGATCAAAAACACAGATGACAGCCTATGTTGGAGAGGATGTGGATGGAGTAAGGGGAACACTCCTCCGATGCTGGTGGGAGTGCGAATTTGTACAGCCACTTTGAAAAATCAGTATGGCAGTTTCTCAGAAAACTGTGCATCAATCTACCTCAAGACCCAGCAATACCACTCTTGGGCATACACCCAAGGGATGCTCAATCATATTGCAAGGACACGTGCTCAGCTATGTTCATAGCAGCATTATTCATAATAGCCAGAACCTGGAAACAACCTAGATGCTCCTCAGCTGAAGAATGGATAAAGAAAACGTGGCACATTTACACAGTGGAGTATTACTCAGCTGTAAAAAACAATGACATCATGAAATTTATAGGCAAATGGGTGGAACTAGAAAAAAAAATCCTAAAAAAAAGAAAGAAAAAGAAAAAATTATCCTGAGTGAAGTCACCCAGACCCAGAAAGATATGGTATGTACTCACTCATAAGTGGATATTGGATGTAAAGCAAAGGATAATCAGAACACAATCCACAGCTCCAGAGAATTTAGGTAACAAGGAGGACCCTAAGAGGGATGCATAGATCTCCTTGGAAAGGGAAAAGAGATGATATCTTCTGGGTAAATGGGTAGTAAAGGGGAGGGGATGGGGGATGAGAACATGAGGGAATGGGATGGCCGAGTTGGGGGAGGGATGGAGTGGGAGAGCAATGAAAGAGAAAATTCAATAGAGGGAGCCATTATGGGACTAGGGAGAAACCTGATGCTAGGGGAATTCCCAGGAATCCACAAGAGTGACCCCAGCTAAGACCCCAAGCAATAGTGGAGAAGGTGCCTGAACTGGCCTTCCCCTATATTCAGATTGATGACCACCCTAACTATCATCATAGAACCTTCATCCAGTAACTGATGGAAGCATTTACAGAGATCCACAACCAAGCACCAGGCTGAGCTACCAGATGAAGAAAAGGGAGAAGGATTATAGGAGCAAGGGGGTATCAAGATCACTACAGGGAACCCCACAAAGACAGATGACCCGAACTTGTGGAAGCTCAGGGACACTAGACCAACAACTGGGGAGCCATGACGGGACCAAACTAGGACCTCTGCATGTGGGCAACAGTTTTGTAGCCTGGCCTGTTTGTGGGACCAGGATCTATCCCTGGTACATGAGCTGGCTTTTTGAAGCCCATTCCATATGGTGGGATGCCTCTCTCAGCCTTGATGCACTGGGGGGGTGGGGAGGTGGAGGGGATGCTTGCTCCTGAACTTGCCAGGCCTTGTTGACTCCCCATGGGAGGCCTTACCCTTTCTGAGGAGTGGATGGGGGTAGGTTGGAGGAGGTGGGGGGGGGTAGCGGAAGGAGGTCGGGGAGTGGTAACTGTAGTTGGTATGCGTGGTTGGTATGTAAAATGAATTGAAAAAATTTAAAAAAGAGAAAAAAAAACAAAGAATAAAAGGTCCCTTTATCCATTTCAATAGGGAGGTAGTATAGTAATATCACACTTTGGTGATTTCTGTTTCACTAGGAATTGATATATGATTCATATTTCCTTACCCCAGTTATCCATCTGTATGTTTGGTCAAATGTTTACCTGCTGCTGTGTATGAAAGATCTTTTAAGTGTGTTAGGTCAAATCTGTTAGCAGCTGTAAGATTTGCAAGCATTTTCCTCCCTTTGCCTTAACCTCTCACTTTCTTTCTTTCTTTTTTTTTTGTTATTTTATTTATTTAT